ATCGTTAAAAAAGGAAAAAGCACCACCACATTCATGGCTTTAACAGGCTATGCTGCACAATACTTGAGGGAAGAAATATTTAAAAATTCATATATATACATACAGGTTTGTATTCTCTTGTTAGCAACCATTTCTCTTATTTTTCACTCTATTTCTCCTTTGCTGGTAAAAATTGGATGGCTGGAGAATATTTAGACTAGTAAATATGTTGCAAGACTTAGGTGATGAGAATTCTACCATCTCTGCAAACTTGTTAAAGCCTTAATTTTTCTACGATATACTACCACAGTAATACTTTGAATTTATATAGCACCTGTCTGCTGAAGAGCCAAAGCTTCACATAGCTCACTTATCCTTTCAGCATGCCCGTGAAGCAAACTGGAAACAGATGGCTTAAAGAAAAGTAAAATCCAGATATGAACACAGAGAAACTCAATGATTTACTTAATGAAGCCTACCTGTCCAGACTGCAGAGGACTAAACGATCCTGGATTGCACACTCAGTGCCTTTTCCAGTAAACAACACTACTTTCTGATCATAAACCAAATTTCTAAACTCTTCAGAAAAACTAGGCTTTCTCATACTATAAAATCAGTAGGTTTAATACGCCAAGAATCCTTGCTAAAGAATGATAAAAATGATGCCTCTATATTTAAGAACTAACAAACAAAAAACCCAGCAAACCAAAAACCTTGAGCCATTCCCTCATTTTATAACTGAGAAAATGCATAGTGTCTGGCGTATGTATGTACTCAATTACTGTTTGTTATTAATGTAACAATTTTAAGTGACTTTCTCAAGGTCAAACTATTAAGTCAGTGGCAGAGTCAGGTCTAGAATCTAGTTCTCCTGAGGCCAAATTCAACATACTTTCCCCCCGGTATTTTATTTTTCATTTAACAACAATGCTTTTTCATCCCTAAAACAATTTTTACTCACTGATATTTGTCTTTCAAATGCTAAGAATAAAGCAAATTTGGTATTATTAAACTTACTGTGAGTTCTTTGAAAATGCCTCATCTCCATAACTACAATAAATTGGCCCAAGTCAGATCAGACCTTCTCCTGAGACTGACATCTCATGATTAGACTTTTTTTTATATTTCTAAGTCAAATTTTAACCAAAGCTCTCGTAAGTAAAAATAGCTAGCTCTGACCACTGATATCTAAAAGAGCTTCCAACATTGTAATACATCCCAAAAGCTTTAGAAACCTCCAATACATTGAACATACACTGTATTGTATATCCCTCTCTAGAATAATTATACAGACTTGATACATGACCCAGCTGTTTTCTTCTAAACTGGGTTTTATTATTTTCACAGATCCAATTTTTTCCCCTCTGGATTACTTTTCGCCAAAAGAATAACTGTCACTTGAGCAAGTATGAAATGACATTAAACACAGATAGCCAAGTTGTCATGTATTAACAGATGTTCATTTTCAAATTCTATTTTATACCAGCTACTTTTGTAATTTATAGCAAAAAGCAAAAACAAGAAACCTTTTGGCATACACATTCACTTAGAATATGCGAGATCAAACACAATAGCAAGTTGTACTAAGAAACCATGTCAGTCTATTTCTTGGAAAGCCAAGTAGAAATAACGCCTAAAATAGAATTTGGAATAATGGCAAGTGGACTTTCTTCTTTTTTCTTGTCAGTTTTACCAAAAAGAATCACTTTAGTGCTAAGGCCCATGGCCAAGCTACCCCTTTTCTTTTCAGTAACAGTCATACTGTTTGCCTAGGAGCAAAATTTAATTTGGTTTTGAATAGTGTCCTGGATACTGACATCCTGCCAATATAAACAGTCCAGGTCAAGTCTAATATGCATGCAACCATTTGTAGAAAAGAAACAATCTCACCCAAAATATTGCTCACTAGTTATACTTAATCCTTCTACCCAAAATGCCATCAGCCTAGTCGTTTTTAGCAAATGAATCTAAATGATGGCAGGAGACTAGAGACCTTGAACTTCAAAGTTGACTGTGTACAGTCAAGGTAGAGCTTAAGTTCTCTGGCTCCCCACTTTCATTTTACAGGTAAAGAAAGGAGTTGATAACTTGCTGGCTCTAACAGCAGGAATTAAAAATTATACTCACAACCCCTAATTTTAATAAAAACTTTGGTTCATTAGATCATACCACTAAAAATAAAATGAAGCCAGCAATATTTAGAGTAGTTTTTAAATAAGTGGGCATCCCAAGACAATTAAATGCTGTGGACTGAGAGCCCTAGGGAATGATTCTACTTCAACCTGATTTCATGATATTTACAAAAATAAGCTCACCTCCCTACCACTTTAACCTAGTTGGATCCCCCTCTTTTTGTTGAAGTTAAACGTTTAATAGGGGTTCAATCTAAAATTATATTATCACCTCACTTCCACTAGGGGGGTCTGTCTACCACTGTAGTTAACTTCAGTTTAAATCCATTTCCAGCTAATCTGTGCCACCAGGCTAGCCTTGGGGTCAGAACTATGTTTTAAAGTGTTCTACTTTTTAGGCTCAGAAACGGAGGCACAGCAAAAAAAAAAAAAAAAAAAAAGGAGTGCTCAAGTTATTCAGAGGTTGCTGCAGCAGACGAAGGGTTTTTGGCTAAAGCATACATACAAAACCAAAATCTCTAAAATGTTCCCAGTTTCATTTGTACAGCTTCTACCCTAGTTGTTTTCAAGCCTGAATGTGTTATCGACTGGATCTATTTTTGAAAATAATTAAAGCTTTTAAACTCCTGACCTCAGAGATTCCTCTGCCCATATCTATACCCTGCAATATATAATCTGCACGGCAAAATTGCCACGTTATGCCAGCAGCAACCTTAACTTGGGCCACATGGGCGGATATTGGTCAATATAGGAAAGTTGTTTCAGTGTCCTCTCATTATTCCGCCAAACCATGACAGGCAAAACCCCAACCAGCTCGTTTATCAAATTTAGTGTCTACTGTTTTTGTGTGTGACATCTGATTCAAGTAATTCCAAAGCACAATTAACTGATGGCTGAATTTTGTCAAGAGATTATCCACACCTTCCAGTAGATGCCTAATACAGAGAACGGTTCAAATAGAATACAGGCCACAGCATGGAATATTGACAGAGCCTTTTTAAACACTGTCATATGGGATATGGCTTCAAATCTAGCATTTAGGAATGCAATAGGGATTGAGCAAAGGGATAATTTTCCTAGAAAATAATAAATATCTTTAAAATTGAGAAAATCCATTAACTAGACTGAACGGGAGCAGGGACGATATATGAACAACTCCCAGCACAAACATATTCCAAGCCCCTATTTTAAAAACAGTTCCTGTTTTTATTTTGGATAAAATCTGAACACCAAATTCTCTTTCTGCTCCCTTTATCTAAATCTAAGCCGAATTCCCAGAGTTGAGGCTAGTTCACCCCACCCCCACCCGCTTTTCTGGTCGAGGTAATTGTTGGAATATGGGCCTCAGCCATTATATTCGTTTTAAAGTCAGAAGAAGTCAAGTGGCCATTACCCTAGGGGCATCAGAGATTTGGGACACGTGACGCCAACTGGCATGTGTGGGAGTGCGGCCACTTAGCTGGAATTCACTGTAAACTACCTCTCCAAGACCAAATTCAGGCTCTCAAATACATTGTGACACCCAGTAAAGTGGAGTAAGGACTTCCCTTCAGTACTTCTTAATTTTATCTACGTTTCTACTTACTATGCCAGGCCCCCCTCTCCACCCCACCCCCAGTCCAGGCTCCCAGCATCCTGTCTTATTCTAAAAGGTGAGGCTCTCCAACCCAGTTCCTCCACCGTCTGCATCAGTGGGGATGTTATGCAGCTCAGGTGAGGAGCAAGAAGCATCGCCTTTTGGGAAGTGTCAGACACTCCACCTCCCGGGCTGGGACCATCTCATTCCTTGGACCCCAGTCGGCCTTTGGAACCGCCAGCACACACAGGAGCAGCAGCAACTTTGGGACTGGCGAGAAGCCAGGGCGGGGGTGGTCAGCGTCCGCAGGCCTCTCATTAGAGCGTTTAAGTACTACGGGTGGACAAAAGTAAACACCAGCAAGTGCAGCTGTGTGTCTGGGGAAGGGGATCACCCCTCTCCCACCTCCCCTTTGGTTCTGCCTCCCAGGGAGCCCCTACAGAACCCCTCCCCGTCCCCCCCCCGTTCCTCCCCCCCGTCCCCGGGTCCTGAGCAGCCGCTGCTCCGACGGCGCACTCTGGGCTGCGGAGGCAATGGAACCGAGAAGGGAGCAAGGAGGCTGCGTGGGGTCTGGCGCGAGTAGGGCGAGGAGAACGGAAAGGTACTGCCCTAATGGCCCAGAGATGTTCTGCTACTGAAAAAAAAAAAGTGCTTACTCATAGGGAGACGCGGTGCGATCGCGATCGCTAACGGCAAGGGCAGACGGCAGGCAACCGGAGCCGGGCTTCTTCCTAAGGCCTCGGCACCCCCTGGAGCCCCGAGGTCGGTGAAAGCCCGCGGGGTCAGCCGAGGCGGGCGGACGGGCGGGAGGGCGAGCGAGGGCTGGAGGCGACGCCGCCGCCGGCTCCCGGGTTTCCTGAGTCCGGGGGGCGGAGGGGGGCGGGGGGTTGGCTGGAATGGAGGAGGACGGCAGAGGGAAGCTCGGCGCTCTGTTTTCACTTCGGGGCCACAGCCGCGGAAGGGGAGAAGGGCAAGGGGTGGTGTCAAGGACTCCAGCCCAAGGCTGGCAACAAGTTAAGAGCAACTAGTGAGAAAACACCGTCTTTGAGAGTTAAGGGGACGAAACGTGTTCGCGGCGGGTTGGGGGGACCCTCTGTCACTCCCATACATCCCTGCTGCGAAGGCTCACCTTGGCGCCCGAGGCTCCCACGGAAAATTCACCGACCTACTCTAACCCTCGCCCCAGCCTAGCCCCAGCCGTGCGGAGCACGTTCCCTCTGAAGTTCGGGAAGATGCTCTCCCCTGGACCCACTCCTGCCGACGGCCGGGGAACGCGCTCCCCTCGTGCCCGCCCGTGTCTACAAAGCACTTACGTAAAGTCGCAGAGTCCAGGTCCGGCCCCACTGCCCTCAGACCAACGCACTCACACAACTTCTGCCCCTCGGAATCTTTGCGGCTCTGGTTCTACAGCTAGCGAGCCCTCCCCCTGCCAGCCCCCTCCGCCCCTCGGCCGCTGCCATTGGCTCGGGTGGTGCTAGCAGTCGGCCTGGGAACCAGGAAGGGGATTGGACCACGAGCTTGTCACATCAACTGGGTGGGGACCTGGGAGAACAGGCTCGGGGATGGGCGCCCTGGAGGGATGCGGATAGTAACTCTTCGGCCCGGGAGAGGAGACTGGTCCCCCCCGCCCCCGGCCGGATTCTCCCCAGCCTACCTGGGCTAAGACGAAGTTAGAAGCCCACAGTGCCTGGCTGGGAGTACATGTTCAAAAAATCTTGTGGAATAGATGAAAAGATGGGAATGTCGGGAAAGGGAGTTTGAACGTCACCAAGCCTCTGTTTAAGTCTATGGAGGGTACATTTCCTCCCCAGAATCCAGAAGACAATCTCGGCATGGGAAGGGACATTATTAGTTTTATCTGCTGCAATCAGCCCAGGTGCTGAACACCGCAGACAGAAAACCTCAACGATCTTTCTTCACCTTAAGAGGTCAAGGGATCAGAATATGGTCAGAATATGGGCAAGGCGGGGCCCTCAAGCCTTTGGCTTCGTGCCAAGTATATTGTTGACCAAAATCTAAGTGGGGTATGTTTGCTCATGCGGAAAGCGGTGAGAGGTGGAAGTGGGAGGGGATGGTGGAAGTAACTTGTGTCCACTCTTGTACAGCAAATAGGTGTCCATTCTCATCAGTCTCCTCTCACCAGAGAAAACTTGGAGACATGCTTCTGCTCCCAGAGTACCATTTCTTCTCCTTCTCTGCCCACGAGATTGCCTCGATGTCAAAGCTGACCTCTTTCATTAATATACTCTGAGGTTTCCTCTGCTTTTTTGCGTTCCATCCTTTGGCGCACTCCGGGTCCAAAATCAGCTCAGATGGCCAGGGTTTGAGGAATTCTCTAGCGCCAGGTCAAGAGTTTGCCTTGTGGGACAGCTGTAGAAGAGAAAGTCTAGGTCCAGTCGTAGCAATTTTGATCAGGAAACGTGTGCTTGGAAAGTTTTGTAAAATTTAACATTGATTCACTTAAGTCCCATTTTACATGCACCAGGAAAATGCTAAATTAAGAGAGGCCTGAAAAATGGAACATTCCTGTAATGGAACCAGACACTTCATCTGTTGTTACGAATTTCCTTAGAGAAATGAACCTATAGTGAGTGCCAGGGCTTCTTAAATGGGAAGGAGTGGGGAGCTCACATATTGCCTAAATGCTACACTAGTGGAGAAGGACTTGGCACTGGGAAAAAGCGTTGTTAAATATTAATTAATGATTAACCAACTGGGAGAACTTATGAAGGGGCACAGGAAGGTGAAAAAGAAATGGGAAGGCAATCATGCTTTCAGAAACATTACATTTCTGTTATGAGAGATTTTGTACTGGGTCAGGACTGGGTCACCACAAAACTACTGATTTCAAAATGTTGGTGTTGGATTGAACTTGCAGTGCATTGCCACACACATTTACAATAGCCTCCAAAATGAGACTTCTGGCTTTCAATAATTGGCCCAAGGTATGACTTCTGGAATTCTTTACACAACATTTCTAGATACACTAAATATGGTGCCTTTTCTACCTTTGATGATGTCTGTAAGTCAACATTGAAGAGTTTTCCACCTGCATTTAAACTTAAATTACAGACTTAGTAATAGCATGAAGGTTGTGCAAGCTAGGTTTTTGAGTATGGATATATTTGTCTCAATTACTTAACTCAGTATTCTATTTTACTTTATTTTTCAAGTTTTAGAAGTTAAAATAAGTCAAAATATTAAGAGTCCTTCAAGTCCATATGATATTTATGTTTTCCTGCTTCTTATTGAAAAAAGCATACGTTGAAACTTCAATAGAAGTTTTTGTTTACCACTAACTCTGAGGATGTCAGATTTCAGCAAAAGCTTTTTGTCAAGGGATATCATTTTATTGGAAGTGCAGTAGTCCATAGTTTCAAAGCTGCAGGATGCCCAGGTGGTGACACTAATTTTCAGGGCCTCAGTAACTTTCCAACAGATGAAATATGCCTTAAGTACAGAAGCTCCTATTTAGATGCTGGTTAAGATTCCTGTTTAACAGGCTCAACAATACAATCCAGGTAGCAGTCTATTTTTTAATATGTAATTTATTTCATTTTTGTTGTTGTTGAGAATATACACAGGAGAACATAATACAAATTTAACAATTTCTAAATGTACAATTCAGTGACATTGATTACATTCTTTGAGTTGTGCAAGCATTCTCACCCTCGTTTTTCAAGTTGTTCCTCCTCCGTTAACATAAACTCACTGCCCTCTAAGGGTCTTATCTAATCTTTCCAGTTGCTGTTGTCAATTTGATCCCATATAGATAGATCTAAAAAGAGCACAATTCTCAAGGCAGACATTCCTTACTAGTTAAGCTATACTATTGTTTGGTTTTAAGAAGACTTCAGGGATATTTTTGGTTTAAAGTTTGAGGTTTAAAGATTATGTCGGAACAATAGCTTCAGGAGTTTATCCAACCTCCATGGCTCCAGAAATTCTGGATTCCATGAGAATTTTAAATTCTGTTCTGCATTTTCCCCTTTTGATAAGGATTCATCTATAGAATCTTTGTTCAAAATGTTCAGCTGGGCACCATCCAGTTCTTCTGATCTCATGGCAAGAGGCAGTTGTTCATGGAGGCAATTAGCCACACATTCTATTTCTTCCTCCTATTTCTTATGCTCCTTCTTCCTCTGTTGCTCCAGGTGAATAGAAACCAATTACTGTGCCTTGGATTGCAGCTTGCTAGGACCCCAGGCACTACAAAACAAACTAGAAGGTAGAACAGAAGCACTAAACACGTTATGGATTGAATCGTGTCCCCTAAAAATGTGTGTCAAAATGGCTAGTCCATGATTCCCACTATTATGTGATTGTCCACCATTTTGTCATCTGATGTGATTTTCCTATGTGTTGTAAATCCTATCTCTATGATATTAATCAATAATGAGATGGGATTAGCAGCAGTTACGATAATGAGGCAGAACTCAATCTACATGATTAGGTTGTGTTTTAAGCCAATCTCTTTTGTGATATAAAAGAGAGATATGAACAGAGAGACAGGAGGACGTCATACCACCAAGAATGTAGAGCCAGGAGCATGCATCCTTTGGACCCAGGGTCCCCAAGCTGAGAAGCTCCTAGTCAAGGGGATGATTGATTACAAGGACTTTCCTCCAGAGCCAACAGAGAGAGAAAGCCTTCCCCTGGCACTGACACCCTGAATTTGGGCTTCTAGCCTACTGGACTGTGAGTGAATAAACTTCTGTTAGTTCAAGCCATCCACTTACGGTATTTCTGTTAGAGCAGCACAAGATAACTAAGACAGAATTTGGTACCGAGAGTGGGGTGCTTCTCTAACAGATACCTAAAATGTGCAAGCAGTTTTGGCATTGGGTAATGGGTAGAGGCTGGAAGAGTTTTAAAGTGCCAAAGAGTAAAGTCTAGATTGCCTTGAAGAGACTGTTGATGGAATGATGGACATCAAAGACAATAATGGTGAGGGCTCAGAAGGAAGAGAGCAGAGTTGCAACATCAGAGACAACGCAGAAGGCGAGATGCAGCAGCTGAACAAGAAGACCAGTGTGAGACAGCACTGGAGCTGACCCAAAGAGCAAGAGAGCTGAGTGCCTTCCTGTCGAAGTTTACTTGTGGAGTAGGGTGCCTCCAGGCACTCATTGGTGGAGCTACAGAACTTTGGAATACTTGCCTCAGCAGGGCGGACGAGGGCGGTGAGGCCCGAGAGGCCAAGGAACCATGAAGTAGAAGCTGAAGAGACAAGGAACACAGGTAGCAGAGCTGCCTCAGTCTCAAAGGGTGGAGGTGCCACCCAGATGGACATGGAGAATGGGGCCACCCAAACTGAGGGAGGGAGCAGAGTTGCTATTCCAGTGGGCCTGGAAGGCGGAGCTGAAGCCCAGGACCCAGGACATAGAGAGAAAGCCTTCCTCTGGAGCTGGTGCCCTGAATTCGGACTTCTAGCCTGCTGAACTGTGAGAGAATAAACTTCTGTTTGTTGAAGCCATCCACTTATATTTCTGTTATAGCAGCAGTAGATAACTAAGGCACACGTTATTGGGCCAATTAATTGGGATGTCGCATGAAATCATGACCCTAAACCTCCAAACCAAGGAACCAAATCCCATAAAGTGTTTGGCTGTACATAAGCTGCATCAGCAGCTATTGTTTGTGTGTGTGTTTCATTGTTGTAAATATATCACACAACTTTTGCCAGTTCAGTTTTTTATGGGTATACAACTTATTGACAGCAGTCACAATAATCGGCTGTGCAAACCTACCCTTAATGCCATTTTTCCATCATAGTAAACTGAAACTCAGTACTCCATAAGCAATAACCCCACCCCCCCGTTCCCTTACCACCTTCCCCTGGTAACCACTAAGAATCCTTGGTCTCTGCATATTGGCCTGTTCTTGCCTTTTTCTAAAAGTGAGTTCATACAATATTTGTCCTTTTGTGATTGACTTATTTCACTCAGCATAATGTCTTCAAGATCCATCCATATTGTAACATGTATCAAGACTTCCTTTTTCTTACTGGCTGAGTAGTATTCCATTGTATGTATGTACCACATTGTGTTTATCCATTCATCTGTTGATAGGCATTTAGGTTGTTTCCACCTTTTGGCTATTGTGAAAAGTGCTGCAGTGAACATTGGTGTGCGTGTATCTGTTTGAGTCTCTGTTTTCAAGTCTTTTGGGTATATACCTGGGAGTGGAATTTCTGGGTTTTATGCTAATTCTATTTTTAGTTTTTTGAGGAACTGCCCACTATTTTTTTCCCCATACAAAAATTTATACATACATTGTTATGTGACCCTAATTGCTCTCCCCATACTGTGATAGCACACTCTTCCTTTACACCCCTGATTCCCCATGTCCATTCAACCAGCTCCTAACCCTCTCTGCCTTCCCATCTCACCTCCGTCCAGAAGCTGCCCATTTGGTCTCTTGTATCTACTTGAGCTAAGAGACACACTCCTCACGAGTATCCCTTTATGTCCCAAGTCCAGTCCAATCTCTATCTGAAGAGTTGGCCACGGAAATTGTTTTATTTCTGGGTTGATAGAGAATCCAGGGGCCATGCTTTCCGGGGTTCCTCCAGTCTCAGTGAAATCATGAAGTCTGGTCTTCTTACTGGAATTTGAGTTCTGCACCCCACCTTTCTCCTGCTCCGTTAGGGACTCTGTTGTGTTCCCTGTTAGGTCGGTCATTGGTGGTAGCCGTGACCATCTAGTTCTTCTGGTCTCAGGCTGAT